GGTGCTGCCTCCCCTGGGCCACTGACTTCTCTCAGGCACAGACTTCCGTTGGCTGCAGGTGGCATCTGGCTGCCCAGGTCCCGGGCCACAGCGTCGCTCTTGAGGCAGGAAGAAGCCAGGGGTGCGTCACCGCCGTTGCAGACCACGGCCACGCGCAGGGCCCTGATGTCCTCGCCGGGCGTGCCGGGCACTCGGTGCGTGGCCTCGATGATGAACAGGTTCTGGATGTACTTCTCCACAATGACCAGGACGGAGTAGGGCAGGTTGTACCAGGTGTAGGCGGGGCGGGCCTCGGCGCAGAGGATGGCCAGGATGGAGCCCCAGGACAGGAGCCAGGAGCCGGAGGCCGTGCCCACCAGGAGGTCCGCGTCCAGTTTGCGGGCCGGGTTTTTGGACTCGTCCAGTGATTGCTCGTCGAGCCTGTAAAGCCGGAGGCCGGCCAGCCCCGCGGCCCCCATGAGCGTCAGCAGGGCGCTGGCGTACAGGTAGAAGAGGATGAGCGCAGACTCGCTCTTGGTTTTGGAGCGGCCGATGTGGATCAGGTACACGGCCACCACCCCGATGGTGGCGGCCAGCACCGCCAGGCCCAGGCCCGAGCCCACCGCCACGCCCTGGAACCGGAACTGCATCTTCCGGTGCTGACGGTGCTGACGGCTGTCCACCCTGCGCCCGATGTTCTTCCACAGGACGTAGAGCATCGTGGAGGCCAGGATCTGGTACTCGATGTTGAAAGGGTAGAGGTAGTAGATGCCGTGGGAGATGGCGGAGCAGAGAGCCGGCGGGGAGCAGTTGCACGGCGGTGTGTGGTCATCCAGCACTAGGAGGAGAGGGGCCACGGGGACATGGACAAGCCGAAGGCGTTGTCACTGCGTGCTCGCTCGCTCGGGTTTCCCCGTGGAAGTAAAAGCGTGATTTCACGGCTTATTATCATGTTTAATATCACGGCTAAATTGACAACCATGAACATCCCCAAAAGAGAATTGATTACATGAGTCACATTTTGTCCATCCATTGTAATGTTACATTATCAATCTATTATAAATGTAGACATTTACTTAGCAACATACAAAAATGTTCGCAAGATATTGTTGAACCAAAAAGGAGTTTGCCGCCCGGCAGGAGTGGCTCATGGTTGAGTGTCGACCTATGAACCAGGAGGTCACAGTTCGATGCCCAGTCAGGGCACATGCCCAGGTTGTGGGGCTCAACCCCCAGTGTGGGGCGTGCAGGAGGCAGCCGATCTATATTCTCTCTCATGATTGATGTTTCTATCTCCCTCTCCCTCTCCCTTCCTCTCTCTGAAATCAATAAAAACATATTTTTAAAAAGAATTTCATTATTTTAAAGCAGCTTGTCAAAGCATCCAGAGCATGACTCTGCTTTTGCAAATTACAGACCTACAGATGACAGAGAGAGACAGACAGACATAGAAAAATGAAAATGCTAACAATGGTCATCTCTGGGAGGAAAACGGCCACTGGTTTTTCTTTTCTATTTTCCAGCAAAGGAAACTTTCACGTCCCTTTTCCCAGCTTTACTGAGATACACTCAACACTCAACACTGTGAGTCTATGGTGCCGAGTGCGTGACTTCCTTCTAGACGTTGCTCCCCTGTGCTTCTAAGCTCTCAACGTGAATTTGATTTGCATGTGTGATTTAAAAATTATTATTAAAAAATAACTCCATGAGGGAAAAGGCCCATCCCATCAGCAACTATTTCCCTCTTGAGACCATCTGATGCTGACAGGTGGGCGTAAGACAGCACCTCCAGCCCCAGCGGCAGGAGGGCCAGGCTGCACCACCTTCTGGAAGGCACTGGCCATGTTACAAAGACACGCTCCCTAACCAGGAGGGGACATGCTGGGAGCAAATAATGAAATGCACAGCAACAGCTGATGTGTGATGGGAACAAGACCCAAATCCAGTCCCCAGCCCACTGGGCCTTCCTCTACCCCACGTTCCTCTCCACCCCAGGGTCCCGGTGTCGGAGCGACAGACCCTAAGAGCTAAAGGACTTGGCAAGAAAACGGAAAGGTGTAGTGCTGCGGGCTCTCCCACAGGAGCAAGGAGGGACGGGGAGGGCAGACATGACAAGCCAAGTAGACCTCGATGCAAACTTCAAATGAACTAAAACCAATGAACCCAAACCTACCATTAGACAGCTATGGGTTTTTAAAAGCTATACTTTCAGTAGAAAGAACTAAAGGCTTGTAAAGGCTTAATTAAACACGGGCAGACACAACCGCCAATCTTCCACGGTTGTACACAAAGTCATGTATCTCCATGCCAATCTGGGCCGTGCAGAGGGTGACCCAGATGATAACCCTGGGGTCTGACAAGCCCTGACTCACGGAGGAACCCTCTCATTACACTCAGCACCCCCACTCACGGAGCCAGCAGGCGGACTCGGGGGGTTGGGGACTGTCTGGCCGACGCTGCGCCGGGCGGGCCCTGTGGTCCTCGAGACGTTCTGCTGTCTGCAGGTCTCCCGGACGCGCCAGCGTGGCAGCAGCCACGCGTACACTCACCTATGGTGATGTTGCCGAAGCCCAGGGTGATGAGCCGTTCCTTGTGCTCATTCAGCTGGTGCTTCGACTCGTTCAGGACGCTGTTGGCCCACAGAAGCAGGTTGGTGAACACCGAGTGTATCACCCCGAACCTGCAAAACACACGGACATTGCATACACACGTGTGTGCGTGCACACACACACACGCAGGCCTCCTTCTTAGCCAGGACCCTGGTTTCATCTGGCAGCTCGGTCCCTGGGTGGGTCCTCTGACTGGCTGGGAGGGGCAGTTCCACGGGAACTACCCAAACCACCGCCTCAGCATTCCGCCTTAACCTTGAACCTGCCAGTCCTCAACTCACTGTCTCTGGGACAAAAATAAACTCGGTCTTGGAATCAGGGATGCAAGGATGGGAATTTGTTAAAAGCAGCCAATTAACCTACGATACCCCAGGCGCTTTCTCCTCAAAGGGAAGAGGAGAGAACAATGAGGGGACGATGGCAGGGCTACAGCGGATGTCGGGAGAGTCAGGAACGCTACTACTGTTGGTTGGCCAACCCAACAATCATCATCCGCCTCCTCTGCCTCGTCACCTGCCTCTGACCACACTGGGCCAAGCCCGAGACTTGCTGTCTGCCTCCCTTGCAGCTAGGCATAGCCATGGTGCAGTGGGGTGTGAGGTACTGAAAGCGTTTGTTTTCTTAATGAGTAAGATACGCATAAGAAAGGCAGACTTACTGTCATTCTTCCCTTTTCCCCAGCCTTGTAGACATGGAGGCTGGAGTGTGGGCAGCAATATTGTGACCGTGAAGCAACCAGCATGGGATGAAACCCTAACCCACTGAGGATGGCTCAGTGGTTGAGCATCGACCTACGAACCAGGAGGTCACAGTTCTATTCCCGGTCACGGCACATGCCCGGGTTGGGGGCTCGATCCCCAGTAGGGGGCGTGCAGGAGGCAGCTGGTCAGTGATTCTCTCCTCACTGATGTTTGTATGGCTCTCCCTGTCCCTGCAGGAAGGGCCTGAAGATCCGAGGGCCTCCTCCCCGGCCACGAGCCAAGGCTCTGCTTTTTGGGATGGAGGGAGCATTGGTCTCAGAGCTGTAACCCAAGCAAGAGGGCGCTGGCGGGTTCTGTTTGCTCTAAGGGCACCCCAGGCTCACCGTGCAAAGCACTGGCCCCCGGTTTTACCTTTCCAGGGTTTTGAAAGACTGGATGACATCCTTGGCGTGTCCCCAAAGAAAGTACACCTGGACGGGAATGAATCAGAGAAGCGCGCCTCAGCAGGAACTATCGCGATGTCTGCACACTCCAGAGGCTCTAAAGCTCAGGGGGAAGGGGTGTGAATGCGGGGGCGCCCGTGGCCTCCCACCCTCAGCATGGCAAGTCGCTCTCCTCATCACCTCATCGCCTCATCTCGGGGACAGGGCCCTTCCTGGTGGGACAGGGCCCAGGAGCACGGGGGCGGGCAGGGGGGGGAACCAGAGGGGGGCCTCCAGGGTTGGGAGGAAATGGTGTCGTGGTAATTGAGGATGTTACGTGGACACTTGTCCTCGCCCCTGTTAACCTGCTTACATCACCCGGTGGACAGTTCCTACCCCAGCGTCCAGAAGCAAATGTCAAGTGCTTCATGTGAAAAACAGCCTTGATCCGGGCCAGTGATCCACGCGGCCGCACAGTCCCGTTTTGGACGCCCTGGGATACAGAGGCAGCCTAGCTAACAGAGGGATGTACCTGCACCAGCGTGTGCACTGCGTGCGTGACGGGGAACACTCCCTCGGTGGCTGACAAGCAGTCAGAAAACCCAACGAAGTACCCGATCTTAAGGCATCCGAGGACGACGGTGATGATGGCAAACAAGGTGATGCTACCTGCATGGTGAGGGCAGAAACACACGTGCAAGGGTTACTATTCACTGAGAGCATTTCAAAGCAGATTCCAGCAAACCCTCGCACACATGGTCAAATGATTCCCGACAAGGGTGCTGAGACCACTCAATGGAGAAAGGACAGTCATTTCAACAGATGATGGTGAGAAAGAATAGAGCCGGACCCTTCCTTTTCATAAATTATGTCCAAAAATTAACTCAGAATGAGTCAAAGATTTAAATGCAGAACTGAAAGCTGGAAAACTCCAAGAAGAAAGCGCAGGGGGAAAGCTGTACAATGTTGGACTTGGCGATGGTTTATTGACTATGACACCAAACGCACAGGCAACGAAAGGAAAGGTAGAGAAATTGGGCCACATCAAAAGGAAAAGAAAAAATTTGTACAACAAAGGACACCATCAAATATTTATAAATCATATCTGATACGGCATTAGCATCCAGAATCTACAAAGAACTCTGATTTAACAGCAACAAAAAAATACAACCTAATGAAAAAGGAGCAAAGGACTTGAACAGACACTTCTCCAAAGGAAACAACTGGTGAATTAACACATGAAAAGATGCTCAACATCACTCATCAGTAGGGAAGTGCAAATTAAAACCAGGTCCCCTCCAGGGTGGCTTCTGAGAGAGGGGGCGGGGGGAGACAGAGGAGAGAGGAGAGAGAGAGAGAGAGAGAGAGAGAGAGAGAGAGAGAGAGAAAGAGAATAACAATGCTGGCAAGGCTGTGGGTAAATTGGAACCCTGTGCACGCTGATGTGACTGTAGAGTGGTGCAGGCATTATAGAAAATAGCATGGCACGTTCTCAAAAAGAAAATTGTATTTCTGGGTGACCCAGCCATTCCACTTCTGGGCACATACCCCCACACACGGAAAGCGAGGATGGGAAGAGAAGTTTATAGCCACGTTCCGGAACTTTCCTCACAGCAGCCAAAGGGCGGAGGAAGCACACCAAGCGCCATCCGCAGAGGCCTGGATGACCACACGGGCTCTGTCCACACGGCAGGTCCATCGGACACATGCAACCACGTGCACGCACCCTGAGGGCGTCATGCCAGGTGAAATAAGCCAGACACTGTGTGACTCCACGGACATGCGGTTCCTGAGAGCAGTTACATTCACAGGGGGCGGAGCGAGGAGGGAGGAGGGCGCTGCATTTAGTGGGTGCAGTTTTGCAAGATGAAAGCTCTGGAGATTAATTGCACAATATGACTGTACTTAATATTCCCAACCGTATACTTAACATGATTAAGTTGGCACACTTGGTCATGTGTATTTTACCACAATTAAAAATAATATGCATATCTAATAAGTTCTACTATTGGCCTGACAAGCTGAAACTGGAAGACAGGTGTGTGTCCTGTGTATCAGTGTACCCACCCCTGCACATCCGGGCTCTGACAAAGGGTAGACACCCAACAGGCTGGCGGAGTCAACGGCAGACCCCGGAAGCTTCTCTCCCAAAATGATCCATCTAACAGCGTCACTGTTCTGGTCAAAACTCCCAGTTCTCTGACCTAAAGTCCTGCTCCCTAAGGAATAAAGGGCCCCACTGGCCTGGCGCAGTGGTTGAACGTCAACCTATGAACCAGGAGATCATGGTTCAATTCCTGGTCAGGGCACATGCCCGGATTTTGGGCTCAATCCTCAGTGTGGGGTGTGCAGGAGGCAGCCAATCAATGATTCTCTCTCATCATTGGTGTTTCTCTCTCTCTTCCTCTCTGAAGTCAAGAAGAAGGAGGAGGAGGAGGAGGAGGAGGAGGAGAAGAAGAAGAAGAAGAAGGAGAGGAGGAGGAGGAGGAGAGGAAGAAGAAGGAGAAAGGCGAAGGTACAGAGGCCTACGGGAACTCACAGCACTATCTTCGCAGCCCATCTACAAACCTAAAACTTTTTTAAAATAGAAAGTGTGTGTTTTCAGTGATAGGTTAGGGCTCCATCGCGGCAACACGGAGCGGTCTGTGCTGCATGACGTGAAGAAGGGAAGGGAACTTTCTCCGATGGTCTATCCAGCATGGTTTGGGCCAGAAATAAAAACGAACAAAGAACATGCATATAAGAAAGAGACTGGAAAGGAATGTGCAGAAGACATGAACTGGGAACTTGCAACAAATGAAGCAATTAGCAAGAAAAACGTAATGACCGTGGGGACTGACCAACGTCAGCGTTTCCAATCCGTCCTCGGGGCAGCGCTGAGCCGTTCACACGTTCTCTCCCACGGACGGAGGAAACCGGATCGTGTGTGACATGCTTCACGGCGTGAGAGAGCGAAGGGCAGGGGCCCTCACAGTGAGCTATAACATTACACCCCCCCTAGGAGCGCCCCCCGCCCCCCTGCCGTGAGCAGTAATGCAATCGCCTGGCTCCTTGCCTTCGCTCAAAGCCATATAGAAACATCGCTAAGTCCCATTTTCTTAAGTCCTGGAAAACCCCCGGTGAAACCAGAGCCTTTGTAAGAGGAGATTCAATCGCAGTGCTTTGAACTGGCTGGACAAACGCATAGTTCGTGTTGATTACAAAGAGACAGAGCAAGAGCAGGCGAGGCAGGTGGTTGGGGTGGCAGGTCACAGGCAGCCGCTATGGGGACCTGGCACCAGTCCAGTGAGCTAGACAAGTCCCTTCCCTGCTCCCAGCCTCGGTTTTCCCATCTACAATGAGACTGGCCCGGTGGGGGGAGTGGGGGTGTTAAAACACCCCTAGCTGGGCTCCACCCCCAGAGTTTTTGATTCGCTGGGTTTGGGGTGGAGCCCCCAAATTTGCATCTCTAGGAAGCTGCCAAGTGGGGCTGATACTGGTGGTCTGGGACCCCACCTTGAGAACCACTGGTCTAGAACATCTCCATCACTGGCATCTCAAGGGCTGTGATGAATCCATCAGGAACCTTCTCACACTCTCAAAGTCTTTTCTGCCTCCATCCCTTCACCACCCATGGATTCATTCACCCATGTATTTATACAACAAATACTGTGCATGAGGCATTTGCCAGGGGCTCAAAGGTACACCAACAAGATTGCTGGGGAGACAAACATGCACAGGTGGAATGTTGCACAAATTGGGGTGTGCACAGGGCAGACAGATGAGCTGGCAGCAGGCGTCTGGTTTGCCGCCTGGGAAACCAGAGGCTGAGGAGGCCCGAAGCCAGGGAAGGATTGCAGCTCAAGGACCCTCCTCTTCCCACCAAGGCATCCTTCTTGTCAAGGCAAAAGACAGGAAGATATTTCAAGACATGCAAAACATAATTTGTTCAGCAACTATTTGTCAAGAAACAACTATGGCCCTAACCGGTTTGTCTCAGTGGATAGAGCGTCGGCCTGCAGACTGAAGGGTCCCAGGTTCGATTCTGGTCAAGGGCATGTACCTTGGTTGCAAGGCACATCCCCAGTAGGGGGTGTGCAGGAGGCAGCTGATCGATGTTTCTCTCTCATTGATGTTTCTAGCTCTCTATTCCTCTCTATAAAAAATCAATAAAATATATTAAAAAAAAAAAAAAGAAACAACTATGGTCCAAGCACTGTCATGGGCACTGGAGATAAAAGAAGGGCAATGAAAGAAAATATCCAGCCCTGGCCAGTGTGGCTCAATGATCAGAGCATCTTCCCATGCACTGAAGGGTCATGGGTTCGATTCCTGGTCAAGGGCACGTACCTGGATTGCAGGTTCAATCCCCCTGTAGGGGCATGTGTGGGAGGCAACCAAAGGATGTGCCATTCTCACATCAATGTTTCTCTCTCTCCCCCCTCCATCCCTTCCACTCTCTCTAAAAATCAATGCAAAAAATATTCTCGAGTGAGGATTCACAAAACAAAAAAACGTAGCTGCCCTCAGTGAGTTTAACATTCTGGTGGGGAAGACAGAAAACAAACAAATAAATGAATAGAGAAGAAGTGCCAGGACGTTCTAAGTACACGCAGAAGAGCAGCGCCTGGAAGAGAACTGAGGGTGATGACAGGTGGTCAGAAAAACACACTCTAGGGTCGGAGAAAAATGTCATCCCTGTAACTCGCCTGACAAAGGGCTTTAACCAAACAACCAGGCCTCACAGTTAGGGAAGGTGAAGAGGAGAGGGGACAATAGTGAGCAATAAACTTGGCAAATTGGAGAGGCAGATGGGATGTATAATGGAGGGAAGGAGAGAAGGGAAGAAAGGAGGGAGGGAGCAAAGGAAGAAGGGGGGAAATGGATGATGGATGATGGATGGATGGATGGATGGATGGATGGAGATAGATCAATAGATTCATAGAAGAGAAAATAAGATACAAGGCATTAAATCCAAAGGGATGAAGAGAAACTGTCTGGAAATGTGTGATTTACAGGCTCGGTAGAGACTTGTGACAGAATAGAGTTGGAGTGGGACTGGGTGGGAAGCAGAGATGTAAAGCTTTTCAACGATCTCATGGTAAGAAAATGGGGGCTGGGGGGCAAGAGGAGCAAACAGAGGGGAGTAAGTGATTTCTAAAGGTCTATCTCATTGGCCTAGAGCAGTGATGGCGAACCTTTTGAGCTCAGCGTGTTAGCATTTTGAAAAACCCTAACTTAACTCTGGTGCCGTGTCACATATAGAAATTTTTTGATATTTGCAACCATAGTAAAACAAAGACTTATATTTTTGATATTTATTTTATATATTTAAATGCCATTTAACAAAGAAAAATCAACCAAAAAAATGAGTTCGCTTGTCACCTCTGACACGCTTGTCATAGGTTCGCCATCACTGGCCTAGAGCTTTCCACGCCCTGCCTGGGGGCTATGCTCTTAACCATCCTGTCGGCTGCCTGCATTGTCTGGGTAATCGTGGTGCAGGGCCGGCCATGCCTGATCACCCACCCCTCACAGCCCAGCCAGTGCCTGGCACCCAGTGGGGACTCAGTCCAGCGGGTGAACCAAAGCAGACCACAGGCTCTGCTCAGCCACCAGGAGGTCGCTCCCATGCTATGGGCTTGGCTCCCTTCTCTGCTGCTCTCTGCAAGGTCTTCAAATCCTTCCGCTCGATGGAGAAGACAGAAGCGAGATGAAAGTAGGGCTATGCCTTCCCTGTCAGCCTTAATGTCACACCCTCTGCCCCAAGCAAGGAGCAGGTTCCTCGTCTCTTTCTCACTCTATCCCAATGTTGCCAGCAAGGGGGGCTCAACCCTCCTTCTCGGCCCTCCCAGCTTCCTGGTGTACGTAGGGAACAGCGCCCACCTCAGGAATTGCTGGGACATTGAAAACATTACAAGGGGCGAGTAGGGGTGTAGGGGGATGATGACTGAAGGGTAAGGGGGTCCTTTTAGAGAGGACAGAGACGTCCCCTACCCTGACCCTACCTGTGAATACGCTGAAAGCCACCGGGTTATGCGCTCTAAATGGGTGACTGGTGGAGTTCGGTGGCTGTATCTCCATAAAGCTACTACATAAAGAGAACTGAGAACTGCCAGGACACACGGATGCTACACCCAGGATGGAACAAGGAAGCAGGGTGGGTCTGGGAGGGTCTGCGTCTGCGGAGAAGAGGCGGTCACAGTAAGATGAGCATGCACCTCGAGGCGGGAAAGCACAGGGCAGCCCAGGCGGTGGTCATGAGCTTGCATCTGCCTGGACCTCAGGAGGGTAGCTCCTCGTCCGTCCTGGCTGCACTGCAGACTGCAGGCTCCCTGAGCACCGGGACCCGTGCATCTGTGTCCTGTAGCCCTTGACCTTGTCCCTCCACCCCGTCTCTGCCACCACACCCCACAGCACCCGCCCCTCCTCATACATGTACTTTCTCACACGTGCGACAGTCCGCTTCCCAAACCCTCCACTGTGCTTCGGGCCTTTGTCTCC